AGGCAGAGTGGACAGTGAGAGAGACAGACAGACAGAAAGGTCTTCCTTTTCTGTCAGTTCGCCCACAATGGCCGCTGCGGCCGGCGCACCGCGCTGATCCGAAACCAGGAGCCAGGTGCTTCTCCTGGTCTCTCATGCGGGTGCAGGGTCCAAGCACTTGGGCCATCCTCCACTGCCCTCCCAGGCCACAGCAGAGAGCTGGACTGGAAGAGGAGCAACTGGGACAGAATCCAGCGCTCCGACCGGGACTAGAGCCCAGTGTGCTGGCGCCGCAGGCGGAGGATTAGCCTATTGAGCCATGGTGCCGGCCGACCCCCACATTGTATCTTGTGTGATACAGAAAAGTTGCAATATAAAAATGGTCAGAGGCATGTAATTTCACATGCTGTTGGGACACCTTTGAATCAATAAGGATTAGAAAGAGAACTAAGCATTTCCCAATCTTATTTGGTCACAAAGCTGTTTGCACACAGAGCATCTTTGGGGTCTAGTGTAACTTGGAACCCATCTTTGAATGCCTGTGATTCCAGAGGTGACTGTGAATTACCTGGAAATATTTTTCTATCACAGTTAAATTTAGAAAATCATATATGCTATGCTTCAGTTTTTTATTAAATGACAACTGTGATATTGAATAACATTATATGAAGGAATTCTAAATTTTATACAATAGTATCTAAAGATATTCTATGCAAATTTCAAAGAATATCTTGTGTGCAATGTTAAAAATGTGGTAAACATTCATAAGCAGGAAAAGAGGATGCATGGTGAGTCTTGGTATTAAGTAGTTGAAGGAGTCTATATTTAGTATCACCAATCACAATCTATGTGAAAACCGGAATTCTGAATGGAAAAAAATATTCAGTCATTTTTGAAGACAGATGAGAAAACAGAAGAAACTAACAAATTGAACATTTTTGAAAGTCAGCTCAAAAATCATCTGCTGTAATTGGCTCTTCACATACTCCATTTCCTGTGCCTCTCACTCTCCAAATCTATCTTATGTGTTAGTATTAGAAAAGATTATCTAGAACTCAACTCTGATCATATAGCTTCTCGCTATTCACAGGATGGACATTCTTGGCTCCACCCTTTCATCCTCCTGTTATACCACCTGGTGAACCCAGCCACTATTAAATCTAATGGTCTATCTCTAGGCTTTCATACTGGCAGCAAAGATAAATCCATATAGCTCTTAAATGCTATATTTTTGAAACAACTACTTCAAACCTTATACACATTACCCAATACCCAGTCCCACCAGATTATAGAAAATGGATCCTAATATCTCAACATCTGCCCACAAAACCATCACTTTTCATTCACACAGATTGTTTCTACTATCCTTTAAGAGAAAAGTGACCCTTCTGGCCAAGGCAGATTTCTCTAACAATGCTGCAGATCCTATATCCAATAACCATAGCTGGGGCATCTCTCCCTTTCCACTGCTTTCCATCTCATTTCTGTATCTTCAATTTTTTTTTAACTTGGCTTTAATCCTTACCTAGATAACTCTCAATCTCCTCTCTTTTCACAGCTATTTTTAGTTTTCTGTGCTCATTTTCTTCCTTTCTTCTTCTACATTTAATCATCTAATACTGAATGTGACTTTTGTTTCCCTTAGTCCACAAAAGCTGCTCTCTCTCTCAACTCATCAAGATAACCTCAGTGGCTATATAATCAAAGAACCACTTAAGGGTCTATCTTAACTGACTTCTTATCAACAATTTACACTGTAGTCTTTTCCCTTCACCACACTACTTAACCTTTCTTTTTATCTCCTGAGTACCCTCTTTAGTCTCCTTTTGTGTACATCTTTTCTTTTCCTTGTATCTTTAGGTTCTAAACTTTCAATCTTACGGAGTAATCTCTTCCACTGTCATGGCTTAAATTACTTGTTTACTCCTAAATATTTATCTCAGCCCTCTTTCCTGGGGCAAGACTTACATTACCAAACAGCTTCCTAAACCTCTCTTCTTGGTATCCCACTAGCTACCTCAAATCCGTTCTAAAACTAAACCCTGTATGAGTGTTCTCTTATATCTCAGAGAAATTTACAAGGAATTCCCCAGATGTCCAAGGCAGACACCTGGATATTATCCTTTACTCCTCTACTAAGACACTGATTTTCCTTCACAGATCTCTCTCAAATGTATCTTCAATTACTGCTATTATTGGGCTTAAGACATATTTTTTTCCTCATTAACTCATGATCTCACAATTCAGACTATGCTTTCCTCAGTTAGACACTTTTCCACCCACCCTCCCAATCCATGAATCTTATTTTATGCCTCAGATCTGATAAATCAGCATTCCAAACAAGCCTGCTCTCTTGTCACTTAAATTTTCCACATGTAGTTTTCTCTGCCTGAACCATTCGTCTTCCAACTTCTAATACTTAGGCATGCTTCAAGCCTCAGCCTAGATGTGACAGGCAGAAAAGCTTGCTTAATTCCCTAAATCTGAGTTCAGCTTCCCTCCTGTGTTCCTATAATCCATCCCTCTCTGATCACAGCACTCCTCCTTGTACAGGAATCACCTATTCATTTTTGCATCCCGCAAGAAATGGTAACCTTCATTAGAGTAAAAGCCACAATTTAACCATTATGCCTCCTTCAAACGTTATCTTACTGAAGTCATACAACACCATCTACTTATTGAATAAATAAATGAAGCAGCTCTTGTCTTTTAACTTATATAGAACTTTGAATCTTTCAAAGCTTCCAAGGTGACTAAGGGCATATTGTAGGCACTCATTAAATATTTGTTGAACTAAGAATAGGACAAAATTGCATTTTTTATAAGATTTACATGATGATATACAGTAGTACAAATCCGATGGAGTATAAATTTTAAAATTCCATTGTACTAAATGTATCTGAACAGTTAATCTCAAAATGTACAAAAACATGTTTACGGTAGAAGCAAAACTCTCATAGGAAATATTCCAAAATTCATTATATACATCTCCCTAGGAAAGACTTTTCTAGAAAAGTCCTATTGCTAAGTCTCTCAAGTCTCCAGTCACTAATTATTCTATGAAGGAAAAAAAAAACATATATAAACTAATAACAAGATTTAGTATAATTTCCAAAAAGGCAAAAAGTATCAATGAAATACTAAGAATGAGAAAAAAATACTTTAAGAAAACAGTTACAGATAAATACAATATTGCTATAAATACAAGTTCATAAAAATAATATCCTTGTTGATTAAAAAAACAATGTTAAAAATAAAGAAGGAAAGTTATCAGCAAAAGATAAATAAAACTTTAAGCAGAACAGGGAATAGTACTAGAAGTTTTTAAAATGAAAAAGATGAAAAACAATTCTTCATGACACTAAAAATTTTGTAAATATGCCAAAGAAATTTTGAAATTATTTTGAAAAATAATTAGGCATCTTCCATCTTACTTTTCTAGGATGATCCCATATTTCATGGGGTGGATTATATTGAAATATACTTTGCAGTTATTTCTTAGAAGATACAATGGCTAAGAATCTTGAAGGACAAAATACGGTTCTGTTGTTAAAATGAGTAAATCCAAGTTACTTTTGGAAAACAGTAAAAGTATGAAATGAGGATGATATAAAGAATTAAAAATGAACTTCACATTCTATTTTCCACTCATGACAGTCTTTAAAAAATATGTGTGTATATTTTCAGGTCAATTATATATATATTTTTAATCACCATGAGGTTTTTAATTCTGACATATTGGTTATAGTATTATTTTTAGTTATCCTGAGGATAATAAAGGCCATTCTTTTCAGTTTTGATTCACCTTTCAAAAGAGACTATTACACCTCTAAAATTTTAATTACTGATATTAGATATTTGAACTTTTAATCATTACATATAGGTATTACTGAAATGGGTGTTTTAAAGTTATTCAGTTAAATAATTGAAATGGGGGCATAAAATCATTAATTTATTAAAACTCTAGAATTTAATAACTGCTTTTTAATATTTAACATAAGACCTAATACTATTTAGTTTTAAAATAAGTTTCTTAAGACAGAATTCATCAACTCCCCCCACCCTAAAATATATGTAACAATGCAATCATGACAACATATTCTTAAATTTCCAAATTCAACCCAGCATGCTTTCACGTCAAAAAGTAAACAATCAGCACTCCCACATCTCCTTAATATTTTGCATTATCTGGCAGTTATTAGTAGGCACAGAGTTGGAAATGGCTATGTTGCCATTACAGCATCCACATCTTATTTTTGGTAAGTTCTAAAGTCTCCTTAGGCACCAATGTCAGGTCACTATTAGCTGGGTAAAGCAATTTCCATTTGCATTCTGAGGTTAGCATTATATAACAATAACTTGTGTAAGACTCAATATAGCTTATCTGTGGAAAGGAATTCACATCCTTACATCTGTAGAAATAAATTCTACTTCTAAGAAAAGAACTATTCAACAAACCTGATTTATTGAAATAAATTATATCACTCTTCAAATAAGCAGTCTCAAGGTGATTCCAAAGCAGTACCAAAGGCTATAAGAACTTGATTGTGGATGTGAGTCTGACAGCCAAGGATTATGTTATAGCAATTTAGCAATGAAATAGTTATTTTTTTCTATACTGGTCTCAGAGTTATTATCAAGAGAATATATACATACATTGGCCTTTAGTGATTAATTTTTAGTTATTCACTTGGTCATCTTTATGAAAACTTTATTAGATTTATCAAATGCAAGTGCAGAAAATAAAACTTTAATATTAATGATATATTTTAAAGAAACTGTCTATACTAAATATGTTTTTATGTCCTTGAAATTCTGGATACATTAAGAGGTGGGGAAGTACACTAGCACATTTGGAAACACCTAATTACATGAGTTTCATACTAGGTGCCAAGAAATCAGGTTGTCCAAATATTTTAGAAATAAAATTGAACCAGCTGCTCTTTTTCTACCTGTTATCTTGTACTTTACTCAAGGCACCTACAATGAAACTTTTTAAAATTAAGTAGAGAAAAACTTACCTAGTTGGGATTTTGAAAAATAGTTTGCCATTTGTCCACTGTTGCAAGACTGTCGTTTATGTCTTTTTGTTGAAATTTCTGTGGTCTTCCAAGGTGGTCTTTTTCTTTTGTTCAATTTGCTAATAACTTCAGAACTATCAGGAGGATTCTTGTCAAAGCTAACAAATTTACTTAATTTACTATTGTCAAGCTGGTCAGTGAATTTATCATTTGAAGGACTATTTGCTTTAGTATTTTCTATTTCTTTAGTTTGCTTTTTAAAAGAATTCTGCCTAGCAGAATGGGACCTTAAAGTAAAGCGCTTTGATTCTTCTAAATGAGTCTGATGATTACTTCCACTGTCAATAGATTCAGGAGAATAAATGACTGTATTTAGTTTAAAAGTGTTTCTGTGCTCAAGATAGTTGATCTTCCTCAAAAATATCCTACAATCTTTTAAAGTTTTTGACCTCCAATTATTTGAGCATACACTTCCTGGTCTTGGTTCCCTTTCAAAATCTTTTTGGCTGCAATCTGTTCCAGTCTCCTTTGCTTCTGACTTAAATTTACTCTCTATATTAGAATGTGTTTTAAGGTCAGGGATTGCCATCTGCTGCTGCAAAAAGTCATCCCTGATCTCAGGTGGCACAATACACGAATTATCTACTGCATTTTCCCCTTCAAGTGGGATGTCAGTATTTGTCCTCCCCCCAGTCTTACTTAAAAACTGATTCTGGCAGAAAAATCTTAAGTTCCTCCTTTTAGAGTTCCAATCAACTGTTCCATGGCTGTGCAGCTTACCCTCTCTTCTCCACCTCTCATGGTGTAACCCCTTAAACTCAGTTCTTTTTAATCTAGCTAGTGTTAAATTACTCTTAATATTCAAGAGCGGAGAGCTAACCATTTTATGTAGTATATGCAACTTCCCTGCTGACTTTGAGGGAGAAGAGAGTGCAAATTTTTTAAAGTGCTTTCTAAAGGGGCTGTTATTAAAATCAGAATATTTGGTACCTAATTTAATTCCCCTGGTATTTATTACTTCCAAAGGGTTTCGAGCATTTGCTTTCCTAACTAGTGAAAGAGATTGTGTTTCTGTTGTTTGCATAAACCAGGTAGAGAGTTCATTCAAATCATATTTTTTCTGAAAAAGCATTTTTACAGGTGAAACTTCAAGTTCTAACAGACATGTTTCCAGAGGTTTTGCTATTTTGAAATTATCATTTTCAGCATGTTGTCTTTTTTTATGAACACAGTTTTCAGCTTCATCTCCACTCACTTGTACCCAAGCATTTGCTATTTGCTCAAATCTGTTGTTTAATTCCTCTAATAAGGAATCATTGGAAGTAGATGTAGCCCACCACCTGAGCAAAGGGTTTGATGAAATTATAGGGTCCAAGGAGACTTCTGAAGTGGACACTAAATTGTTATCGTCCAAACACTTTTTTGCATTCCTTGAATATCTAGTTCCTGGGGTATCTTTTGAAGCTATTTTTATCCTTGACTGCCTATGTTTTTTCTTCTGACTTTTACCTTTCTGCAAATGGAGCTTGTATGACTTATGAAGTACAGCATTTCTATAAAAAAGTGAACTAGAAGATGCTAATGAATGTAAGAAATGTAGAGATGGTTTTCTGTCCCTAATAGAATGTCTCAAAGGTACTGCAGCAACCATACTTTTTGATCCATTCTTACACGTGTCAACTGCAGTGTGCCTTACGTTATCCATCTTACTGCATTGTTGATCAAACTTTTCTTCAGGCAGAGCTTTTTCTAACATAGTCTCCTTTTCTAAAGGAGGTAAGCAGCTGCTAATACTTACTTCTCTTTCCTGAGGTGAAATTCTATTAATAGTCACAGAGATGCCAGAGATTTTCACTTTTGCAGGCCTACCAGGCTTTCTAATTATTGCCAATGGCTTTTGATTTGGTCGAATAATGTTCTTGGAAGGCTGAGGTATCACAGACTTGTTTTTGATAGGTCTAACATATTCAAAGCCTGACTCCAAGATCTCACTTTCAGTAGTCAAACTTGACATAGCACTTACCCTTTCACTTAAGTCAATTTCATGTTCTCTAATATTTCTGAGACTATTATATTCAGTTGGAAACTCAGCAACATTATTTAAAGACCTAATATTGCTTTTGTTTGCATTTCCTTCAGAAACATGTCTTTTAGTTCTTCTTGATCTGCCATAAATAACAGTTACTGTAATACTCTTTTTGTAAATACCTTCCTTTACTTCTGATATGAGAGATTCTGAGCTCTTTCTTTCAGTATTAAAGGACTCATTTTGGCAAATGGTGATGTCTGTTTGATCAATTTTAGGCTTTGGTGGTCTTCCAATTGGTCGCTTAACCTGTTTCACAACTTGGGGACCTATTTTTTTAGGTCTACCTGGTTTTCTTTTAAAAGATGAATCAATAATACCACTTGAATTTTCCTTACATTCTTCTTGTGGCTTATCACTTTTTATATCATTAACAAACATTTCAGAAGATTCTGCAGCTTCTTTTGTACAATTAAATTTGTTTAATTCTCTTTGAAGAGTGTCATTATCATAATGGTTAGAACCATAATTTTCATACTTAGCATTTGGGGTATCCTCATTTGTTTCTCTTTTTTTCCCAATTCCACGATGTGTTACACGTTTTTCAGAAGGAACGCCAGCATTTGATTGAGATGTATCAACTGAAGTTAAAGTATATTTGACTCCTTCATTGCTTTTAACCTCAGATAAAAACATGAGTTTAATAGGACTAGAATAGTTGGGTACTGAAGAGCTTTCCACACCTTCATATTTTTTTGATACATTTTCAGCATTGGAAATCAAGCTACCCATATCTGAAGTAGACTTTTTCAGATTATCAAGTCTTTTGTTATTTAAATCTACTGTAGGCATACAATGACTTTTGATAATATTGTTGGATGTTACCAGAGACTTTGTTAAACTCTGCTCTTTGCATGCCACTCTACTTAGATTAAGATTCATATTTCTCCCAGAATTTTGGTCTTTACCATCAACTTCTATCACTTTCTTAGATGCTTTATATCCTTCTGATAATGACTGATTATTCCAAGACTTTTTGGCCATATTTATTGTATCTTCCAAACGTTCCACAACAACTTGCAAATTAGAACTCATTGCAATTTTGTTTAGGTCTATATTGTGTGAGCTTTCAATCTGAATATTTTTCACAAGTTCTTTTTTTTTTTGTGGATTCAGATACTCTTTTGGCCTTAGGAGATTTTTTGAAAACGTAATTATTTGTTACATATATAGAATACCACCCTGGAGGCACAATATTTCGTTTATTTCTGTTTAGAGGTTCAGGAACATCACTTCTCAAAGGAGTTTGAAAAGTCTCTAATTTTGGATTCTCCCAATGATTTTGCACAATCATTTTTCCAGTTGCAGATTTCTCTTGTGACTTTCTTATGTTCATTTTCTCAGGTGAAGTTGCTTTAAAGCTTTCTGAAAATGCATCAAAAGCCGAGTTAGTTTCTAAACTGCGAAGAGGTAGTTGCAATGAATGTAATGCATAATTTGGTGAAAATGATGTTTCTGCATGATTTTTAACTTCAAAGCTTTTAGAATTTTGTAAACAAGGCCCCTGGCAATGGCAGAATTCTTCTTTGTCCGATGAAAATATCTCATCACTGTGCATCAATTTCCTTGAATTTTTTTCACTGTATTTTTTTCTAATAAAACTTTCATCAAGACTGGCAAGTTCTCTTTTTATCTGTAAAGACTGCCTTCTAAACATGGGTGAGTCAGGAGAACTGTGCATTGCAAATAAGGTTTCTTGACGCTTTCGAAATCTTGTCTGAATAATTTTATTTTCTACATTTTCATCATGTTGACTCAGTAATTCCATAAAACTGTAATCACTGGCCTTTGCATTATGCAAGAGAGAGGTTATTAAATCTCCCAACTTGAAATCGTAATCTGCATTACAATCACTGCTAGATAATTTTATAAGGTTTGTTGTATCTGTGGTTTCTATTGATTTTAATTTTTCATTAATGCGATCCATTAAATCTTGAAAAATGAAACCAGATTCACCTTTTTCATGATTTTTGGTACAATTATTGCTGTCATCCAAGAGCAAAAAATCAGAGTTACTTATTTTTTTAGTTTTATATATTTTACCTTCATGATCACACTTGTTGATGCTTATTTCTGCTGGTGTGAGAGATGGAGGCTGGTTAATATTTGTTTCAAGTTTGTTATTTTCTAAGCCTGAAAGCTCTGAGATGACATCCTTTAACTTTTCAGTTCCTTCAGTCTGTACAGGTGACAATGGTGGGGGTGAGGGGCTTCGAGATCTACAAAGATCTTTAAGACTTACTGAAAGATCACACAATTCCCTTGACAAAAGAGGACTATGAAAGGTGGATTTTGTAGAGTGAACGTTTGGTAGTGGTCCAGAACAGCACCTGTGAGAATTATAACCATTTGCGATTTCTCTATTCACTACTGTCTTAATATGTTCAACAGTTACAGTTTGGCAAGATAAACAATGTAAATCTTTAATACAGACTGGCAGAGGCCCTAAACCAGGGCTCTGTCTTTCATTTTGTAAGCACCCTCTTTCTGCCAGTCTGTATTCACAACTACAGAACAGACTATGTATATCATCTTCAATTAGGGGCTTTTGAGATTCTGAAGACACAGAACATGATGCATTACAACAAAAAAGAGAAGCAGTACTCTGCTCTTGGACTATACATTTCAACATAGCCAAAACTTGTTGCTGGTGATGTATGCACAAAGATTCCAAAACTTTGCTTAATGCTGATTTTTCTTTTTCCATTTTAGTAGCTTCCTCTGATTTTGCATCAACAGTTGAACTAAAAATAAAAATCAAACAAAAAAATGAATTACAGCAAAAATACCATCATAAGGAGTCATAATTTTAACAGAGTTGAATAAAAGATATTTTGGTACTGTTGGACTCCTATAAAAACTACAACAATGACATCTTCATTATTGTTTAGCAAAAATGTAATGAAGCACTGATGATAATTAACTTCTTGTGATGAAGTTTAAGAATTAAAATAAGGCCCTAATTTTGCAGAAATATAAAAGCTAATGATTACACATGGCTATAATTATATATTAATATTTAGTGTCTTGATATATTAAGAATATTTAATGGAAAGTGCTTCAGGAGTTACCATTTTTATCAACATTTTATAAGTTATTTTGAAACTACCAGTCAAATTAGTGCAAATATGGAAAAAAGATGTAGAAGTATAAAATCTTTATTTAAAGTAATTTTTAAGGCAGTGAAAATGAAATTAATAAAAGAGAGCTCTACATAGTCACAAGGAAAATTAAGGGATTTAGATTTAATATAAATAACAGAATATCTTTCCTAAGATTAAGCTGCAGGCATTTTAACCTAATAAAATAAAAAATGGAAGCTATTTAAAAATGAAATCTACTCTTAATTGATTTTAAATACTCAAGTAATTACATGAAACTAAAGTCATTACATTACTTACCTAATTATTAAATTTCAAATGCTGGAAAATGCCCCTCTGCAGAAACTAACATACATCTAATTTAACTAAAACCCAGGAATGCTTATCAACCAATTACAGAAGGCTACAAAAATATCTTTTTAATCCAATACCAGCAGCAAGAAGAGTAAAATCCATTAAAAGAATTCTGTTTCAGAAAAGTATCTATTTTAATTAAACATATCACCAAACTCTGTACATGAAAACAGCCTTTCACTTGTGATTTGTTATATTTGTTGTTGTTTATAGTTCCTGGTTTGTTGAAATTTTATTTTCAGTTGGAATTGAGATATGTTGATTATAAACTGCCATTGAAAAAATTATGTTGCTAAAGACTATTCTCAAATATACTAAAAATCCAAGGATGTTTCATTTAAAACAAAAAGTGGAATTAATCTTTTTATTTTACTCCCTAGAACTGGCATAAGCTGTTCCATAGATAGAAGTATGCAACATTTCATTTAAATTTATAAAAGTATGCTATTTGAGTAGCAAAATTATCAAAGTTTGAACATTTGATTAAAACTTTTCAGGAAAAAAATTTAACTTTACCAGATTCAACCAACATTTCACTAAAACTAGCAAATGATGTGACATCAAGAAGCTATCAAAGTGAGAAGAGATGTGAAATTGCAATACAACTTTTTATGCCCACTGCTGCCTACACATAGATTAAGATAGGACATTACCCCAGTTCCTTTGCCTTTTTGAAAATTTTGTAATGGTTAGAAGTGTAAAATGATATAACTGACACCCAGGATTCAGTATTAGAAAGTTAAAAAAAAATGAGAACAAAATCAAGAGGAAATGTTAACTATAAAATATTAAGATATAATTATACTTTTTTCCAGCAAATTAAAAATTTCACATAAGCAAAAGAAAATAAAAATCTTCTAATAAATGTATTTCAATGGTTTTTCTAATAAATGTGTTTCAATGGTTTTAAGTGATATTATGACCTGTTAAACATGTTAAAATGAGAACTGACATGTTTCTTAGAAAAATATGCTGCACTGTATTGTAAAGATTAGTATTATTTTGTAAGTTACTGAAATGTTCAAAGGCTTCTGTTAATAACGACATAACAGAAGAAATATCAAGGTGTCTGGTGGTAAATAATCTTAAAAAAGTTACAATTTCAATGTGATTAAATATGAAAACCTCTCAAGTTTTACAACCCTTTTCTGATATTCCAAGGTTTTCTATAGTTTTAAGAGTTTTTCTGATTCATTTTATTACTTTCAGGAATGGAATTTCAAAAATACCACAGTGGCCAGTATTTAATTCTATATTAATAGCTTAATAAATATATCTAGATATTAAGATGAGATTACATTTTACAGATCACATATGAGATAAGTAAGTTTTCAGTAAGTTCTATAATATGCTCATCTGGCTTCAGATTTCTTGCATGTTAGAATTTCAAAGAAAAACCCACCATTTGAGTAAATAATACATGTTAGTCCCCAATCTAGAATTTATTCTCAAGTGATTACGAAAAACTTCTAAAACTGTTTTTCTCATATATTCCTTGTTTTAATGGTTAAAATTTTATTTTTTCCACTTTGATTTATAAACCAACATATCCTGTCTACTTCTTTTTGTGCTTTACTATTCATTTTCCCATTAGAAGCTTGTTACTGAAATATGTCTATGGAAAAAGTAAATTTCTAATACTGATTTTAATAAAACTGCTTCCTAGTAGGGAATCAAAGAAGTCAGTATAGTCAGGGTTTTTCTTTTCACTTTTTTGTTTTTCTTTTACTGAATAAGTAAATCAATCACACACCAACAGTGCTGTAAATTTAAGTGCAAAAGCATTGAAGTGCTTTACTACAAATTACAACCTAGAAACACGTTAACTGAACAATTAAAATTCATACAATCAGATTTAGATATATAACAACACAAAGTAGGAACAGAATTACAGTACATTTACAACACAAGACAGATACATGAATTCATTAGAAAATATTGTAATAAATAATTCATGAATTATAGTGCAATTGATTTATGCATAAATATAACTAATTGCCTAACAATCAGTTTATATTAACAAAATCTGTCAAAATCAAGGCAGCCACAGAGTTTTACTAAATTACTGCGACAATGGAAATACTGCAATTAAAAAACAAATACAAGTATTTGTACTGTAAACAACTAAAAAAATCAGTCTCACTAAAGTTAGTATACAATTTAATATAAAATTGTCATTAGCTACCAGAAATGGTTTAAACAACTTTACTGAGCAGTAGTTTTCTAAAAACAGAGGCACTGTTTTTTCTTTTCCTTCTTTTTAAATTTTAAATATAAAATACTTGAGGAACATTCAAATAAGTGGAAAGCACATACAGGTTGCTTTCACCTTCATTAAAAGACTGCTGAAACTGGATTTTTCAGAAAAGTGTCAATTAACAAGTAGTAACTGGTAACTAAATTTATAAAGTACTTTGAAAATTTAACATAAAGAACATCTTAATAGAATCACTGGGTAGAAGGGGAACCCATAAATTTCCCTGCCTTTCCTAGTTTGTATAATCAAAAAGTTAACTCAATAATAGAAACATTTTGTTTCTTTTAAAAGTTATGGGTTGATCATTACCTATAAACTATCAAAAAATATTTTAATTTACTATTTCTGACCAAAAATAAATAATACAAGTACTAAAATGCTGTAAATTAATTATAACATTACCTATAAAACTACTGATCACTGTGAAGTCAATAGCAAAATGATCCCTGATTTATGAATCCTGTAAAGTTTTTGGTCAGGTCATCTTTAAATGATATAAAAGTGTTCTGTAAGTTTCCCTTTACTATAAACTTCTCAATCAATTTATTAATGTAAATATAGTGTGAGGAATAAAAAATACAATATAAACATTATGTAATGCAGTCAAGCCCCCAAAGTTCTACAAGTAAAATTCTGTATAAAGAGGTCAATAAAATTGTTTTGAAACATTTACTTTACTGTTAACTTTGTTTTTCAGTGGGGGGGGAGGGGAAATATATTAAATAATCCAAGTTCTGGCCCTCACAAAATATGGCTTAATTCTTTAAAAAGAAAGATGACCCTGACATCTGCTGTTTTGTAATCTATTATGTATATTTTCTTGGGGGAAAAAAAAAAGAGCAAGAGGATTCATACCCTAGTATGCAGGTAACATTAATAGCTGAAGAGGGTTCAGTATAGATCTCAGAGACCAATTATAGCTACTTAATTGTATAGTTTCTCACTCTTCAGTTTCTTTAAACATATATAAGCAGTTTTTCAGTTTAATAGCTGAAAATCTCTTTAGTATTTTATGTATATGTGATTATTAAATACACACAAACACAAGTGTAGAAACACAAGTATTTGACAAGGTGCACTTACTTTTTTAAATTCAGCTATTATTATTCCTTTTGGATTTAGGAAAACTGGCTTAGAAAAATGATTAGAACCTGAATTTTAACAGAGAAAAGGGGCACTCAGGAATTTTGAAAATATAAAGCAAATCCTCATTCTTTATAGAGAGGCACATGCTTTATAATACTTTACAACTGAAACTGCATATTCCATAAATCCAACATGGATACTTTGACTCATACTTTTTAAAACTGCTATATAAAAATCACTGGTCTCTCTCAGGAATCTAGTAAAAGTTAAAATGCACTGCCCAGCTTCTAACTACCCAGTTAGTAGAGAGTTTACATTACTGAAAGTTCAAAACAGCTTCAGTGTTAAATATTTGTAAATCTATTCAAGACCCTGAACAAACTGCAAATTTGGTTATTAGCAAAATGATAATGTATCGCCCACCAAAATGAAATCTGTAATTCATTTTGATAAACTGAAAATGTTTTGAAATGTCACAGCAGCAAATATATTAAAGTTACACTGAGGTTTTTCAACAGGAGTGTGTCACAATCCTTAAATTTTAAAGTAGTCATAACATCAACTAACCAGCACATTTAAACCAAAGTTATCATTCTCAAGCTTTTTCTGTGCACATTATAAACATGCTCTAAGTTGCATTCCAACTTTCTTTTCTAACCTTACACATTAGCTTATTTTTCAAATGAAAAACAAAATTAAATAATTAAATTTAAATTACTTTTTGTTCTTAGTATTCCATCTTATATTAAAAGATTCTATAGCTGCTGGGGTTAACTATGTGTCAGTTTTTTCTTTTAAAAGTATATACCTTATAAACCCCAACTTCCTGCTAAATCAACTAGTAAATGATAAATATTAAAATTTCATTATACATATCCTTTAAGGTTTTCTTTTCTATTCCTGGGGATGCACTTGAGTGCATTTCATATTTTATAGAATGCACTGTAGTGTACTAATACTGTATATATTAATGTTTCTTAATATGAGAGTTTCTTTATTTCAGATTTGATGGTTGTTTGACATACTTACAATAAATGTAAGTATGCTATATAAAAATGTTTACAAAGTGTTAATATCATATTTCCATTATAAGATGGTTCAACTGAATGGCTGGAATGGTCTTTCACTAATAAAAATGTTTCACTTGACAATTACTTGTTTTCCCACAACGCTTTATGCTATTGACTACTAAAGAAAACCTGAATCTTTTTCACCTATTTATACAAGGATTAAATACAAACTACCAGAATTAAGTAAGCAACTATATAATTCTGTCCACAGTGAAAACCCTGAATAAAACTTTTTTTTCAAAAGGCATGTAAGTGGTTTTTGATCTGTAAAATTTCATGTCTCCTGTCAGAGTGAGCATTTGTAATTCCCACATGTGTGTATATAGACACACAAATACACACCTGTGCACATACACACACGCAAATACACACACACACACATTTTCCTAACAAGTAATCTACACAGGCTTGCTGCTGTTTTTGCAGCTGCCAGTCCCTGAATCTGTCGTATGATATAACCCAGTGTCTGGTAATCGTAGTTTCTTCTTCGGAGGAGTCTTCAGTGTTCCAGATCTTTCTTTTACCTTGTATTCTAAAGTGCTGTGAGGTACCCCATAAATTCCTTGTGCTTTGGAAACACTCATTTTTCCACTCATTACCATTGCAATAGCCTCTTCCATTATTTCATGATCATATTGCCGATAGCGGCCACGTTTTTTCCTGGGCTGTTTATTATCTTTTCGATCCAATCCATCTTCAGTATTTTCAGAGGCTCCATCAACTGTTCCATTTTTAGAATTAAGACACAAAGGAGAGAGGTCCCCATGTAGAAAGTAAGAGTCAACACTTGAGTGAGTTACAGGCCCAGAACATTCTATTTTGTTCTGTTTAGGGAGTATATTTTTCAGTTTTTGGAGAGCTGATCCTTCTAGGACTGAAGAGGTTTTAGAAACTTGATACATAACATCCAGCAGACCAGAACCATCAGATTGTGATTTTGAAACAGAACTTACTCGGAGCTGAGGAATTTTTAACTGTACAGTAGGATTTGAAGTTTCATATTGAAGGCTTTCATTTTTTTCTTTAAACTGAGTAACCATTTTCTGTAGAGTTAATTGATGGAGGTAACTGGAAGCTGTTGGGAATTTTAATTCTGAGGTTTCAAGTAGATTGAGTTTACTTTTTTCTGTGCGCTCTGCTTGAGCTCTTGCCCACAGGGCTACTTTTTGCAGCACTGCGCAAGTTTCTTTACTGTCTTTATATGAGTAACTATCATTGAAATCTCGAGTTTTGTTTTTAAAAGATGCAGGCTTCCCTGCTGGTAAGGCTTCTAAGTGGAGAAGTAAAGTTTTTTGAGGTATGCCATAAAGTATGCCTGCTTTATTTATGTCCAGTGCTCCAGACTGAATGTCTTTCAAAGCTTTTGAGAGCAAACCATCTGCAAACTCAGCACTTCTTTCCACATAGTCCTCTCTGTTTCTGTGTAGTCTCCTGGATGGATGGAATGAAACGATGGTAAACTGATGCATGAGAGACTCTCACACAGCTATGGAAGGGGAGGGTCCACTCCTTTATTATACTCCTTGCTTAGGTAACATCACTGCTTATGACACTTTTAAGTCTGTGAGATGTGGTAGTTACTCCTTATCAAAGCAAACGCTACCGTCCTGGTAGGACAATGTGTCAATGATACGGTGGCCTCAACAGGCAAACCTTCCAAGAACATAAAATCCTAACTCAGTATTTGTAAAAATATTCTCATGATGTTGCTATTCCTTTGTAAGATGCTTGCAGAGCAACACTTATAATTTTTACTTGTACAATTAGAGTTCCATTGTTAAAAAATACCCAAATCCTAAAGGAGTTTTTGTTAGTAGAAACGTGACGTTACCGCTAAACAAGTAATAAAAGAGTCAACCCCTTTAAAGGAAATTTGTAGCAGCAGGAATATTTCCATACACAAACATCCCATATTTCCACAAGACTAAAGACTAATTTTTCTCTAGAAAAAAGCTTAAAAATTGAAACCAGTAGATAAGTTATATTTGAATAGTAGGTAAGTTATAGTTGAATAAAGTAATTTATTTTTAGATGTTATTTCTCTTGAATCTAATGATTTTCAAAGTTTCTCAAAAAGTTTACTAATCCTATGACTCAAATGCTATTATCATCTTAGTTGAAACAAAATACACTCTATATCTAAGATTTAAATGTGACAAAAAAAGCTTCCTACATAGTTAGTTAATGGGAAGATGCAAGTTACAAAAAAAAAAAAATCCAAGAATCCAACAGAACAGCATTTCACTACTAGTTATTTATTTAAATTAATGACAGCTTTCAAAACATGAAAGAATATTTTGTGGTGGTTACAAGCTATTTTAAATCTTTTGCCACCACATCTAAAGTACAATGAAAAAAGTGTAATCACTATAAAATAGCTTTAAGAATTAGTAAGCACTTTTAGAATTTGCTTTAAAATTTTATATATTAAAATTACATATTTTCCTTAAAATTGTCACCTGAATATTTAAAATTCTCTTACTTGTCCTGCTTCTTAGTTTGTATTCTATGATTAGGTTGATAGTTCATTTTAGTAACATGAACTAAAGTTTGGTGATTGTTCTGATAACTTTTCTTTAACAGAAAGCATAAAAAAGAAAGAGAAAGGACAAATGAAAGGTATGAGAAAGACACACTTATGAGCAACAAAAATTCTGGAAGAAAACTATGTCAATACTGCTCAGAATAGTATTAAGAATTCTCTGCAGAGATAATTTTACATTAATATTAAATTATGTCTCCTAGATATTGCTTACCCAGCCATTGAATTTTCAGAAGAAGGATCACTTATGGATGACTCTTCAGATTTTATGCTGGTTTTCTTTGTAGAGAGATCTAACACTCCATCCCCTATAATTTTTGCAAGAGAAAAAACTTTATATCTGTAATAGGTAAGCCTTACAATTTAACATTTCAAATTTTGCTGATCCACTAATTCATGACCTAAAAATTAATACATATATTTTAATATATGGCCATTTCCTAATCATCTTAAACAGTTTCAGCAACAGGATATGTGTGGGAAATTACTAAAAATGAAAAAGGAACAGAAGAGGAGCTAGTACTGATTGCCAGATGACATAAAAAAACTATGTGATATAAAATCTGTTTAACAACAGCTTTTTTTTTTTTTTTTTTTTAAGATTTATTTGAATGGTAGAGGGGGAGAGAGAGAGAGAGAAAGGAAGAAACAGAGATACAGAGAGATCTTCCACCCACCATTTCACTCCCAAATATCTGCAAATGCTACAGCCAGGATTGGACCAGGCCAAAGCCAGGGGCCTGGAACTCTATTTGGGTCTCCCACATAGGTGGCAGGAGACCAAGTACTTAGGCCATCATCTGCTACCTTCCCAGGCACAATAGCAGGAAATTGGATCAGAAGTAGAATAGGTCAAGACTCAAACCAGCAGTGTTATGGATGCCTGTGTCATAAGCAGCAGATTAACCCATATAGCTATAAGCCACAACATTGGCCCCAGCCCTGTAACATCAACGCCTGGTCCCCTCTCCCATTATTCTGTAGTGAATAACCACAGGATTGCTCATCCATGACTGTTTTTCATTCAAGGCAGCAGCCTAGATAATATCTTGGGAAGATAGGAATGATATTAGTATTATAAACCAGAAAGAACAGAAAATGTGATGATAAGTAAAGAGAACTGAATAATTAATTCTTATTAGGACTAGTAATATGTGGCACATACATCATGGGAAGACTGTGACTCTATGTACAATGAATAACTTTCCTGGAACTTACAGTATAAAATCTTTCTATTTTAAATGATAGAAATGTACAAAAGTTGAATCATTGTCCATGTAATATATTGTGATTCTATCTATGATTGGATGACAATACTTTTTTTTTTTTGACAGGCAGAGTGGACAGTGAGAAAGAGAAACAGAGAGAAAGGTCTTCCTTTGCCATTGGTTCACCCTCCAATGGCCACCGCAGCCAGTGTACTGCGCTGATCCGATGGCAGGAGGCAGGTACTTATCCTGGTCTCCCATGGGGTGCAGGCCCAAGCACTTGGGCCATCCTCCACTGCACTCCCTGGCCACAGCAGAGAGCTGGCCTGGAAGAGGGGCAACCGGGACAGAATCCGGCGCCCCAACCGGGACTAGAACCCTGTGTGCTGGCGCCGCAAGGTGGAGGATTAGCCTAGTGAGCCGCGGCGCCGGCCGGATGACAATACTAACTTTAGAAAAAATAACCTGCTTCAAAACAACTGCCTAAGTATTATTAAAATGAAGTTACTGGGGCTGGCGCTGTGGCACAGTGGGTTAATGCCCTGGCCTGAAGCACCAGCATCCCATATAGGTGCCGGTTCAAGACCCGGCTGCTCCACTTCTGATCCAGCTCTCTGCTATGGCCTAAGAAAGCTGTGGAAGATGGCCCAAGTCCTTGGGCTCCTGGCACCTGGCTTCAGATTGGCGCAGCTCTGTCCGTTGTAGCCAACTGAGGAGTGAACCATCAGATGGAAGACCTCTCTCTCTCTCCTCTATTTAACTCTGACTTTCAAATAAATAAATAAATCTTTAAAAAAAATGAAGTTACTTCTATTACTATTAGAGTATGGAACATATTTAAAATAAAAGATAAAAATAACCTATAGATTTAAAACTGAGAATTTGTCTTTATTGTTAGTTCAAAAATGAAATTTTAGAGTGTAAGAAAGGAATTATTATAAGAAAATAGTTATTTAGAAATATAATAAAAATCAACTGGGTGTTAATGTCACCACACTAAAGTATTCACGGAGAAACAGATGAAAAAACAAAATAAAATACCCTACCCATAATCTCCATAGAATTGAATAATTTACTAGTGTTTCATATGTACAAAGCACTGTTCCAAGAATTAGGTATAGTAAACAAAGATGCCAAAGTACCTATTCTCAGGGTGTTCAGGATTCTAGTGAGACTAATTCATAAACCATAACCACCACCTACACCAATCATGACAGTTCTACTGCAGAATGTAACACAGAGGCAGCTGACAGAATAACGAGGGTAGGGCTGAGGAGGCTACTGTTTCATAAGATGTTATTCAGCGTAGATCTCTTGATTTGAACAGGGTCCTAAATAAGGTAAGGTCACCAACCAGATATATGGAAGAGCTGCTAAAAAGAATAATTTGCCCAGAGGTTGTGATACAGAATCCTGTCTGGAATAAAAAGAGGCCAGAGGGTCTGGAGTGTAGTTACCAGGGTGAGTGAGATAAGTTCAGATAATGTTGTAGGAAAAAGTCACATAGGGCCATTTGGGCCATGATAAGAACAGTGTATTTTATTTTCAGAGACAGGAAACTAGTAGAAGATTCAGAGCAGAAGACTGACATGATTTTAACTTAGTTTTTAAAAGATCAGTTGGCTGTGGGGAGAATGAACTGAAGGAGACAGGAGCAAAGCAAGTGAACCTGTGTGAAAGTGCTATGCTATTTCTCATCTCTGAGCATTTTCATACTTTCAGTAGGTTTCCTTTGCCTAAAAGACTCCTACTTTTCTCAAACTTCTGCCCTCAAACTCATCCTAATTCTTACCAAATTTTACTCATCATTCAATTTTTTGGGACACAACTTGTACTAGATTGATAGTCATTCTTCCAGGTTCCTAAACTTGAACACTTACCTATATTATTTAGCATTTAACAAGCTGTGTTCTAGTTGACAATACAGTTATCAGTGTTAGGCAGACTATGAACTATATGAAGCCAGTGCTCATGTCTATTCTATACACCAATACATTCCTATTGCCCAAAATAGTGGATAGTATACAATATGTGACAAATAAATATTTCTCCAAGGGATTTTTGAAGAACTGAGATAAATTCAGTGTTGCTAGAGGTTAGACATTATAGAGTGAAAGGATAAAGGAGAGACTGGAGAGGCAAAGTACTTGGCAACATGGTGCCTTAAAAGTTGTTAAAGGAAGTATCCTCCCCAGGTTATGTACATAGCCTAATTTTATGCTTAGTCTCTAACTCATCTGCAGCCTCCTACTTCTATTTAAGCACCTGTAGTTCCTCAAACATGCTAAGAGGTGTCCTGTATCTCAAATGGCAGTACATTGCTCCTTCTAACTAGAGGGCTCTTTATTTATTTATTTATTTATTTATTTATTTATTTATTTATTGACAGGCAGAGTGGACAATGAAAGAGAGAGACAGAGAGAAAGGTCTTCCTTTACCGTTGGTTCACCCTCCAATGGCTGCCGCAATGTGGCCGGCGCACCGCGCTGATCCAAAACCAGGAGCCAGGTGCTTCTCCTGGTCTCCCATGCGGGTGCAGGGCCCAAGCACTTGAGCCATCCTCTACTGCACTCCCGGGCCATAGCAGAGAGCTGGCCTGGAAGAGGGGCAACCATGACAGAATCTGGCGCCCTGGCCAGGACTAGAATCCGGTGTGCCAGCACCACAGGCGGAAGATTAGCCTATTGAGCTGCGGCACCAGCAATAGAGGGCTCTTTCTACCTATTCAGCTTGGCAACTTGCAGATCCCTCAGGGAGAAACTGCTTACTGTCTCCCTGTATCAAGAGCATCCAGTATCACTTATAACACTATCATGTTCTTACTAATCTACATATTTTCTTCCCATGAGTTTGAATTCCTCAGTGTCAGGAATCTTGAGGTATTTGAGTTCATTAAACATTATTCAGGGGTAGAATCTAATAAAGCAAGAAATAAATGTCTTAATTTTCTTCCCTTCTAGAACATTTAATTTTTTTTATTTCAAGAACTTATGGGATGATCTTCAAGAAAATACTGCCTAACCTATATTCAAGTTTAGCTCTGTACAAATTTTGATTTTTGATTTTTCAGGTTTTATATACAGTTTATAGCACACAAAACATAGGTCCTGTGTCTGTTATTAAAGTCTCAGAATGAATTAATGAAATTTCCCCAATTCTAATCTCTTCTAGACTTGATATGCTCAATTTAAAATTATTTATTCCACAAAAAGGAAGAAAAAAGAGGTACAGAAAGGCTCTTCTTTCTCTCCTTTACATAAACTATGTAAACTAGGCTCTACCTCTCCATAGCTTGTGGCCATTATTCACAGCCCTTGTTAGATGAGCTGGTCATAAACCCTATACATAAGTAAGTGATTCACCCAAATCAAGTGTATACTTCTGTTTTCTTTTTAGGAAGTCTAAATAATGACCCTGTTGGGAAACATCTTTTTTTTTTTTTTTTTGTCAGAGCCTATATCTAAGTTGCCTACTTAAAGGTATATTTCCAAAAGTATTTGATTAAACTAAAATCACATATTATGGTCTGTATCTACTGGAAAAGGTAGTCCTTTCAACATATTTCTGTCACATCAAATTAAAATTGCTTATAAATTACATTTACAAAGTAAATATAAAATATGAGTTCATTAATATGTAAATAAAATGGTTCTAATATGCATTAAGGATTTCTAGGATCGCTTCTCGGCCTTTTGGCTAAGATCAAGTGTGTAGGATTTTTAGGAAACTGGAGTTATCTATAGAAAATATCACATATTTTAGCAGTATTATCACCTATGTTAAAGTATTTAGTGGATCTATGACTCCTTTTGCTATCACAAAGGCTGTGGATAAAAAGATAATTTCAAAATGAGTTAGCCCTATAATTTTTTGAATTAGAAAAGCAGAAACAGAGACCTGTGTTGTGGCACAATGGGTTAAGATATCATTTACGATGCTGGCGTCCCCTATCAGAGTGTGTTTTTGAGTCTCAGCTGTTCCATTTCTGATGCAGTTTCCTGCTAATGTCCTGGAAAAGCAGTGGATGATGGATGGCCCAAGGATTCGGGCCTCTGCCACTCACATGGGAGACCCAGATGGAGTTCTGGACTCCCAGCTTT